AGTATTCTACTAAAAATTTGTGAATATGTTTACTAAGTTGAATTAGTGGCCCAATTTTCACACCCTAAAAACATAATCTACATTTTAACCGCAGATTAAACAAATGTAGGGGAGACTGGGGTAAACCCGCTCACAGGGTAAACCCGCTCACTAGCGATTTTACGCTATGAACTCAACTTAAGATGGAAATATTGGTACTGTGAATAGTACTTAACATTTAACTTATATTAACGAACTTTTGTTTAGTTTCATGAATTCAACACAGAATCAGAGACGATCAAATGTTTTTAGAGGTGTCAGAAAAAAAAACGTATTTTGGATTTTTAAGTTTTTCGATCATTATTTTTGAGTCTTAATTTATCTGGCAAATTTTTTTTGTTGCTATTGGATGTCCTTCATCGAAGTACATATATAGTTTTGTCTTATTTAAAAAAGATTTAATTAAATTTATTCTGAAATGTGAGGAATACACTCGGGGTAAAGTCGCTCACGTGAAGTCGGGGTAAAGCCGCTCACTTAGTTTTAAATTTAAAATTTAGAATAAAATAATTTCACGTATTATATTTCAACAATAACACAATTTATGACTTATTAAAACCAAAATTGTAACTACATTTCACTTTCTCTTAATAAAATATAACACTATTTAAATCCATAGTTGTAATTCATGAAATCTATGTTCATTATTTATTAAACCAATTTGTTGTTTATAGAATTGTTTATAAAACTCATAAATTATCAATAATAATTCATACTTAAGACGGGAATAAGACGAACTTTAATATTTAAAAAATAAAACTCTTCCGTCTTGAAAAGATAAAGTGAGCGGGTTTACCCTGGAAAATTGTGATTTCGAAATTTGGTATATGTTTATTAAAAAGTTTCTCTAAGTAAAACTAAAAAAAATAAATCAAAAACTATTTTTTATTTTTTTAGTAGAAATCAAAAGCTTTCAAATGATATAAATTAACTTGGATTTAGAGAATAATTTCCTAGATTTTATCCGATCTGAAAAAAAGTGAGCGGGTTTACCCCAGTCTCCCCTAATATAATTTCTACTAATTTAATAATAAAATTTACTAATTCAAAAGCAAAAAGTCAGTCAGTAATTCAAGTTACATACTAAACATAATCTTTACTAATTAAAATGAAAAATACTCTTTTTTTGAGAGGAGAATTTGAAAAGATATATTAAAGAAGATAATTTTTTCTCTAAATATGAGATTATACATTTTTTTGGGTGCACTAATTTGATTTAAAGAATAAGTATCGTACCAATTTTAAACAATCAAAATAAATTCAAAATATTGAAAGAAGATCGGAATATTCAATGAGTTCATCTTGCGAACAGTAGATTGTGCTGAACACTCAATTGTAGGGTAGATCATAAAACAATGGCCTTATGATTTACATACGGTCGTAGATCTCTTTCTCTCTCTCGAGTTTCTATTCAGATCTCAAAAATAATGGTTTCTAACAAAGATCATAGTGTAGATCATGAAAGAATTGTTTTGTAGAATATATACTATATAGATCATCATAAATGCCCCTCCAACTTGAATCGTCAGAATATGATTATCATACCATTATAGAATGTATTGTATAGTCAAATAATTGAAATATCAAATGTCAATTATTAAATATCAAATATAACTTTAAACAGTAATAGAACGTCAAATTACTACAACTCCAAATTAGCAAAATATAAAAATTTTGCAATAAAAACTTGAAATAATTTCAAAAGAAATTCATTAAACTTTTTCAAACAAATTAATTCTATACAATTGTTAGTTAAAAGTATGAAAAATTGAGATTTTCAAAAATTTTAATTTGAAAATTCTACAAAAATTCAATTATTTTAATACAAAAATAAATAATTAATTGAATTCTCATAAAGATTATTATCAACAAATTTTTAAATAAATAAATTCTTTTGACGAAATCAAATTTTATTAAAATTTACAAAAATAATTTAATTCTTTAGAAGCATTTCAATAAAATTATAAAGAATTGCATTTTTTGAGAAATTTATATTATCAATTATTATTTAAAATTTTAACTGAAAGTAATTTTTCAATTAATTTTTATTAAAAAATTCAACGAGAATTCAATTATTTGAATATAAAAATAAATAATTTATTAAATATAATTTAATGTTTCTTAACATTGTAGGTATATACTAAAAATAATTGAAATTCTGCGAAGAGTTTTATTCATATTAATATGAAAATAATTTAATTCATAAGAAGAATTTTATTATTTATGAAAATAATTTAATTACTGCGAAGAAATTTTTAAAAAATTTGTAAATAATTGAATACCAGTGGAAGTTTTATTATATTTCTGAAATTAATTAAATGTTTGCGGGGAATTCTTTTGGAAAATTTTATTAAAATCATTGATATTGAAAATCATTAAATTGAGGAAAATTTTTAGAAATAATTGAAATTTTTGCAAAGAATTTTATTAAAATTTTTGAAAATAATTGAATTTTGGAGAAGAATTTTATTATTTTTAAGGATAATTGATATTTTGACGAGAATTTTTTAAAATTTTTTAACATAATTGAATTTTTGCGAAGAATTTTATTATTTTTGAAAATAATTGAATTCTTGTGATGAATTTTGATATTTATCAAAGTAATTAAATTTTGGAAAAGAATTTTATTAAAATTCCTTAAAATAATTGATTTTATGGGAAGAATTTTGTTGTTTATCAAGATAATTGAATTCTTTTGCAGAATAATTACTTAAATCTTTTTGAAAATATTTGATTTCTTGCGACGAATTAAAAGTTATTTATGAAAATAATAATTGAATTGTTGAAACGAATTTTATTATTTTATTGAATGTTTCTTAAAATTGAATTCTTTCGTCATGTTTTAATAAAATTTTTAAGAATAATTGCATTTTTCGAGGAATTTATTTAAAATTATATTAAAAATATTTGAAATTCTGCGATGAAAATAATTGAATTTCTAAATTTAATGTTATTATTTATGAAAATTATTGAATGTTTTCATAGAATTGTATAAAAAAATTGTTTCAATAATTAAATTATTTGATAAATTTTATGATAATAGTAAATATTGAAAATCATTGAATTGCGAAAAACTTTTAAAAGTAATTGAAATTTCGCAAAGAATTTTATTTAAAATTTTGAAAATAATTGAATTTTTGGCGAAAAATTTTGCTATTTTTTAAGATAATTGAATTCTTGACGAGATATTAGTTAAAATTTTTAAAATTAATTGAATTTCGATGAAGAATTTTATTACTTTTGAAAATAATTGAATTCTTGTGTTGAATATTATTATTTATGAAAATAATTAAATTTTACAATTTATTAAAATCCCTAAAAATAATTGAATTTCTGTGAAGAATTTTGTTATAATTATAAATATAATTGCGTTAAAACTTTTGAAATAATTGAATAATATTAAAAAATTTATTCTTGTCAGAAATAGAAACAAAACTCTAAAGGTTTATTGTATTAGAATTTGTGGTAATTTCTTAATTTATGAGTCAAACAAAAAAAAACTCCAAAATTCAAAATTTTCTTATGAATTCTAAAAATTAATTAGTTTTCAAGAATAATTACAATAACTTTAGAAAACAACAATTTTCCCGGATATTTCGATCAAAATTCCCTGACTTTTACAGGTTTTTGTAAGGTTTATAAAATTCCCAGCTGATATTTCAAGGTTGCGTATAGCAACCCTGTGTATAAATCACGAAACGAGAGTCGATTTTCCCTCATTTACAAAGATCATCAGTATAATCTAATCTTTATTGTGAATCCACCGTACCGCAGACAATTAATTGAATCAAAATTCTAATCTATATAATCATCTTGATTAGGGAATTTGTAACAATTCAACAGTATTTCTATATGTAAATCCGGTTCTATTCTTTTTGTTCATTAAAAATCTATATATAAAAGAAAATTTACATCAAGATGGTATCAATTTTTATATGTTGTTGATTCGTTTGCTTTAGGCGAATAAGCGAGCATCAGCGATCGCGTCTTCGAAATCTTAATGGGGAATGTCGTTGCGGGTTAACAAGCCCAAAGATATCGTTCTCGCAATTTCAAAAAAAAAAGTAGCCAGCGAGCGAGCGAGCAATTACGTAAATTAAATTTAAACACGCATTCAAATGAAGCGATATCAGAAAAATCCGGATGTTGAGGAGGTTTTTGTTGATGGGATGAGGGGGAGAATGGGAATATTAGTTGATGTGGGAGAGAGTAAGAAGGAAAAGAGGAAAGAAAAAGAAAAAAAGGGGAAAAAGAGAAGGAATGAGAGAGAAAAAGAGAAAAAGAGAGAGAAAGAAGGAGAGAAAGAAGGAGAGAAAGCTCTTGGAGTGAATATCAACACAGAGGAGAGAGAAACACACTAGCCATATAACCAGACAAAAAAAATTCTGAATATTTATGTTTCGTATTATTAGCGTATACGTTCTTGATATCTCGGTGAGCATCGCTAATTAGCTTGCGACCGCTAGCCTTTCGGCAAACAGTGCTGGCTACTGTCTTAAGTTCCCGTAATCAAGATGGTGGCGCCAACCGCCCGGGGCGGTCGATTCCGAAACTAATTGCCTCGGCTAATTTATCCCGCGACATACGCGGACAGAGAATCCATTCTGGCCTATACCACGTAATCATACCACGAGATCTGCTTTTTCGGACGCAGGAAATCGTTTACGATTAGGTGGAACGTCGCGAGAAGTCCAAAAAATTACCTTTCTCCCTTCTCTCCTTTTCTCGCCACAAGCAGCCAATTTTTGATTTTCGAGGGAAAAATACACTCAAATTCCTAAATTTTCCATTTTTTATCCGTATAGATAGCTAGAAAAAAATTGAATGTCATCCGAAGTTAGAAGTAAAGCTTTCAACTACAAAAAGAGTTCCCTCAGTGTATGGGAGAAATTGAATTCTGGAAAATGATAAAACAAGGATTTCTGAGTAGGTAATTAAAGTAAATATAGTCACCATTGATAATGAAGACATTGCAATTTATTAAATAGTCTCTTCCATCAATCTTACTTACATTTATACAAAAATGAGAAGAAACCAAGTAGAACTGATATCTACTTGGTATTAATTAAACATTTATCGAACGATCACATACATATATATTTACAAAATAATTTTCACCGTCACGAGACGCGATATTTATTTACAATTTATTTACAGACAAATAAAAAGAAAAACTCTTGGAGTGTTTGACTATATATATATATATCGCAAAAGTGCGCCTATGGCGAGCATAAACAGCCAGTTCATTACACGTCCAATTAAATACAACTCTGGCAATTATTAATTAGCGCGATTACTCGCAATCTTTCTCTCTCTCTCTCGTTCCTGAAACCATATAGTCTTGTAATCTATCCAAGATGTGTGCACTCTAGTTTTTTACTTTACACTCTTATACACTTGGATTTCAAGACCGCCCAGATTTTCTCGTCTACTTTTTAATTCCATGATCATTCCCTTGTAAGGTGCTGGGGAATAGGATGATGAGACGTCAAACCAGGATGGGACAGCATTCCTACTGGATAAAGTCCTGTTGGACCAAGTAGACCATGATGCGCACCATAAAGTGCCGTGTGATGTTGAGTCACTGCTGACATTCTCTGTTTCTCGATCTCCGCTTCTTGGAGACGTTTCGCTTTTGCTCGCCTATTTTGGAACCAAATTTTTACCTGCAAGATGAAAAAAAGTTCTTCATTAGTCTCTAAATATTAGGAGAATGGTTGTAAATATTTTCCGTAGTACATAAAATGATAATAATAATAATTACAGAGATTAATAAAAACAAAAATAGGAATCAAAATAAGTAAAAAAAATACCAATAAATCAACTATTGGATTAGATCTCAATAAGTCGGTAAAACAGTAGATTCACAGCTTTTCTAAGGATATCAAATTGAGACAAAAAAACGTTACGTTTTTTTGTCTCAATTTGATATCCTTAGAAAAGCTGTGATAATCTACTATGAATAAAAAATAATAAAGAATAAGTAAAATAAACGATACACGTGATGATTATTATTAAGTTTCTTGCAAAAATCAATTTTTACCTGCGTTTCAGTGAGATGAAGGGATGATGAGAATTCCGCTCTTTCGGCAACGCTGAGATAATGTTTCTCGCGGAACTTCTTCTCGAGCGCTAAAAGTTGTTGTGTCGTGAAAGGCGTTCTAGGTTTTCTGTTCGGTTTATGTTTCCTAAGATTGCACTTGATTTTCGCCGGTTCACCGTTTTCTGTAACAAAACAAAAAAGAAAGGGAATTTTTATTAAATGGTCCATTTTGTATACATTTATAGGTGAGCATAAAAAAAAAAGATTAACCGCAATATGTTCCGTTCTCTTTTCGGTATGAGAGGAGATAAACAAGAATTGTTCATGCAATCAATAATTTTCCGTTTGACGAAGCCCACAAGATCCAGCCGCACATTATTTTTTTGCAAGACAGGGAGCAACCGCAAAATTCCGGTCAGCAAATTGTTCCCTGCTATGTGAATTTTTATCCTCTTTTTATTTATATATTTTTGAAATATGTTCGTAAATTTTTATTTCTTTTGCTTTAGTGTCAAATTGTAATTATAATTATTGTCCAGGGAGAATAATGAAGTATTTTGTCAAATTTTTGTTTAAGAAGAATTAAATTATGTAACAATTTTGCTAATTATTATTTAAAGAGAATAATTAAGTGCATGCTTTTTTTGCGAATTATTATTAAATGACAGTAATTAGAGTGTGTAAAAATGTTGATTGACTGTTTTATAAATGATTATCTAATTTGAGAGCATATAATTATTATGATGCGGCGCATCGGGGAAGTAAGGGAGAAGTTTATATGCATCATTATGTAAAATCTTGCTCAATGATTGTGATTATGTTGGGAGATTTTTCTTTTTGAACTCGGCAAGTGTAACGATAACCCCAGTGCGAGACACAGAAAAGTCATCATGCAACAATTAACACTCTGAGAAACTTGTTTACTTTGCGCTCTCCAAGTTGTTTACTGCCATTCAGAGCTTCTTGACAGACACACCATTATCGAATTTATATCTTTAATACTCAATTAATTTGTTTAGACTTGTGCGCAAAAACATAGATCACGCCAACATATATATAGACCGCAATCTATCTTTATAACGTGAGGATCATCAACATCTTTATACCTCCGTATAATGTCTTTAAGAAAATACTCAAAAGAAAGGAAAGTTATTTTAATGCTCAATTTCGCTAATACGTTTGGTTTGATATTAGTAAACTTTGGTTTTAATTCTAAATCATCAGAATAATTCAGAAGGTTAGTGTGTAAATCGAGTGATGAGGCTGAGAACAAACAATATCTAATTGACGTTAGTTTTTGAGGATTATCGTCAAATTTCTAACTTCCTAAATTTGTATAATCATTACAAAATATCAGAGCAGTATAGTTAAATTATCTTTAGAATATCAACAAATTTCAGAATCCAATTATTCGGTATTGGATCTCCATCATCATCAACATCAGAAAAATTGAGCAGACCGCAGAGTACAAGTTGAATAATCAGCATAAATCATGAATGATCTTTAGAGCACCGATCAACAAATTGATCATAAAGGATCAACGAGCTCTCTCTCTCAAGAGGAATGCTTCAGAAAGCAGTACAAAGATGATCAGCATAATCGTATAATTTATCAACAAAGTAAAATACAAATTAATTCAATTCAGATGAGAGTCCTAATATTCGTAAGTTCGTCAACCCTTTCTTCTTGTAAATGCCAAAGAAAACAAACGACTGAATAATTCCGCATATATTGTACTCGCAGCGTCTTTCAATTGCTACCATCTCAGCAGTTTAAAGAAGCATATATACAAGTCGCCCGAAAACATTTTCAAGTTTGCGAGAGAAAAGAGAAATAAAAAACAAAAGTTGTCGCATTACTTATTTGCGGGGTCGCGACGAATATCCAAGATTTGTCCCGAAAACAATTGACAGATTTGTAGGAACAGAAGTTGAGGATGAATCTCGGAGACGTATACACATCAGGAGAAATCTTCTTCTCTGCCTCTATATTTGCTTTGAAGGAGACAAAAGGCCATCGACAATTTCTGAATTTCAAATTTGGTCCCAAGCCAGATACGGACGCGCGAGAGGAAGCTCGTTGCGTTGATCCTGCAGCTACTGATTCTTCTTCTGCTGCTGCTCCTGCTGTTGCTGTGTTTGCTTCGTGTCCTCCTTTGTATCGGGATCCACCTCCGACTGGCTAAGGGTCCAATTAGTCTCGGCATTCGGAATCTTTCTTGGGGGCCACCGGGCCAAAAACGATCCGAACGGATTTTAATCCGGACTCGATCGGGAACGCATTCGAAATAATTAGCTGATTTTGCCGAGATAAGTGTCTTCCACGAAGGGAAAAGATGATCGGACCGGCAAAACTCCTTTGTTGCCCCTCGTCCTTCCACCCCGCGCATTGCGTAATGACGCTGCTACCGTCTTGTCGTTCAATCTAAAATTTCTACTCGCCGCAGACACGAGGAAAATATCAAAAAGGGGATGCACATATTTCTTGCCTTCAGGCGGATGGTTAAAGAGTTGGCGATTTTCAAATAGAAAATACTACCATCTTAAACCTTTCAAAAATATTTTTTTATCTTTCGACTTGTTTTTTTGAAATGAGCTTTTTTTTACTAAGGTCTACTAAGGACTAAGGTCGACGATTTTGAATGCGGCATCAGAAATATATTTTCCATTTCGATAATTTGAAGAAACTGATTAACATCTAGAAGATGTGGGAGAAAATGATTTAGGTTTAAAAGATTTGGAAGAAAATGATTTAGATTTATAAGGTCTGGAAGAAAATGCTTTAGATTTAGAAGATTTGGAAAAAGCTATTTAGATTTAGAAGATTTGGGAAAAAATTATTTAGAGAAGATTTCGAAGGACATGAATAAAAAGAAATGATGAGGTATTTAGCGGATTTGTTTTTGTCGAATGAGAAATTATGCAGGTAACGAATTGTATTCAATTATTAAGATTAGCATTCGAAATTATCGATTACAAATAATTGAAGAAAATGACAATAATTGGTCCAGAGATGCTGTATCAATAATTTATCAACCGTGAGAGAGAGAGAGGGAGAGGAAGAAACAATTGCATCTTCTATAAAGTTGTCATTACATGAACCCTGTTCTATATCTGCTCCATATCCCCTTGTGAGATTCTATCTCTGTATGTACTCCTATGGAGACTGTATCATACACCATGGATCATATTCCACATCATCCGGCATATTTCAAAACAATGTTTTCATTCCCTATACTTTTGAAAACTTCACTTTAAATCAATTTTTTTAAATTGAAAATCATTATTTACTCTTGAAAATCATTGTTTACTTTTCAAAATCATTCTTTACTGTTAATAATCAGACTCAATTCTTAAGGACTAACTTCTTAGTCTTACTTCGTTTTCTTAAAGTAAATTTACCTTGTTTGACTAAAACTATGCGTCACGAATATTTTTAGGAATTTCCCCCCAAAAAAATTAGTAGTCTGGAGATTAATTTTTTACTTTTGAGAAACGTCCTTTACTCTTGAAAATAATTTTTAATTTTTGCGAAAATCATTCCTAATTCCTAGAAATAATTCTTTATTCTTCGCTAGAATCAAAGATTCCACGGTGGGGCTTTAAAGATTTGAGATTTGCTCCAGATGGTGAGGAGAAGATATGATGATGATGTATATCCGCGAACCCTCCTGGTGCGCGCACTTGATCATAAAAGTAGTAATTTCATTCGCATCCTTCAAGTGGCTTTTGCCCGTCTGCGAGTGAGAGTCGAAATAAAAGATGGAGGCGTAAAAGTTTGAAGAACACCGAAAGTGTTTAGGGTGCTTCATCCAGAAGAGGCTATATTTTAGAATTACGACGCCTCGCCCTCGTGTACGTGTAATATTTCCGAGAGGAGGGTTTTTTTTTTTGGTTAACTCAGACACCGAGGATGCTAAGAATAGTGGAGTCATAATGTCATAACGTAAACGCCGCCTTATTCAAGATATATTCATTTTTTTATTTGCAGGCTATGGCTAAAATAATACCGAAAGGTATTTCCAACTCCAGACAATTGCCAAAATAATACCAAAAGGGTAATTCAAACTGTAGGACGATTGTTAAAATAATTCCAAAAAGTAATTGCGATGGTTAATACCGAAAGGTAATTCAAATTGTGAACGATTTCCAAAATGTAACCAAAAGACTATTCCGAAAACAATTCCGATTGTAGACAATAAAATTGTCGAATTAATTCCAAAAGGTAATTCCGATCCGAAGTTAATACGGAAAGCTAATTTCTAAAGGTAATTCCAATTGTAGACAATTTCCGAAATTGTTCCGAAAGGTGATACCAAATGGTAATTCCAAATTGTAATTCAAAATGTGGTTCCAAAACGGTAATTCGAAAAGGTAATACCAAAAGGTAATTCTAGAAGCTAATTCCAAAAATTTAATGAAAAATGCTGTGGGGAATTTAGTGGTAAAAGAAGAACTCCAAAAGGCGCCTTACTATCGATGAAGCGACGGTAGGCTATCATCAGCTTCTCGCACCAACGACCCCGGAGTTTAATTTTTCCCTCGGGGAAATTCACTTTTACGGTTCACAGATATTAATATCAAACCCCCCATTTGATTCTTTTTTCGAAAACTTTACCTATCCTAAATTCGTCCAAACGGATTTGAACACACTTCTCCCTAATTTTACCAAAACCACCGATTTTCATCAATAGATCATTATTACCCAAAGCTAATCCTAAATCCCTAAAAAAAATAAAAAAAGACCCAAAAAAAAGATTCAAAAATAGTAAAAATTGGGAAAACAGTATTTATAAAGAAGAACAAGGGTAAATTAGTCTCCGTATCGGCTAGAAGCGGAAGAATGTGAAAGAATTCCTTACCATTGAGTGGAACGTGATGAGCGAAGTGCGACGGGAAAAAAGTGGCGGCCGCTGCTGATTGATGTCCAGCCCAAATCGCAGGATGTAGACCGGAGGTGATTGTGGGTATGTTGCCGAGTGCCGAAAAGCCAGCAATGTAGGCGGGAGTGGGCCTCACTGGTGTGGGACTTGACGTATGTTGTTGAAGATCCTCAACATCGACCAAACTCGATTCATCATCACCCACATCGTCAACATCCTCAATTTCCGAACACCTCGAACGTCCCTCATCGTGCGAACTCCTCGGCGATTGTGATCCAAAATCACGAATAATCAACGAATGATGCTTTGGCGATAGTGTCACTCTAGAGTCGGGTGTCTTCAAATCCGTCGTCACCGGCGATGTGCTTATCCGATAATCCAATAAATTTCCAGCATCACAATGCTTCGCCGATGATCCGTCTTTACTTTTTGGCGAATCACAATACTGATTATGATGAGGATGAGGTATTCTTGACTCCTGAAAGTCCTTGAGGGAATCGGCGATACCGTAACGTAGCCTAAGATCACTGATTGGTGTGTACTTGGAGAGTGAATGGCCCATTAGTTGATGAACCGGTGAATAGGAGGTAATTGGTGATGATCTAGGTGAGGCTGAGGTGTTACTTAATTTCGATGAGATGTCCGTCGTCGATTTTTTCGTATCAGCCAAAAGGGCAGCTACCGAGAAACTTAGGACCGGACTAGGCGAGGCTTGCGGTGCCTGCGCCTGATTAGGAGAACCTGGACTTGTCGAGGGCGGTGTCACCGGTGATGTCATTCTTAAGACTGTCATTATTGATATTTAGTGGAACTTTTCCAAAATGAAAAGGGAAAAAAACAATTCTAAACCTTTGATAGTGTTGGTAAATTCATAACATAACACTGAATCTTTGGTTTAAAAACTAAAAACACGAAAATTATTCTTTGCAGTAAATATAGAACAATTGTTTAGTGTTGACTATGTCACTTTACACAATTAGATGATTCAAAGACACTTATTGAAAATTAGTGAACACTGAGAATATCTTTGTTGACAAGGTTTTTTTTTGGAAAAAAAATATCAGAGCTTCGACTAGGAAACCTCTTACCAAGTCGAGATCTCGGAGTAGACTAACTGGCAGTGATGTCCGTGGAGGGAAAGGTTTTTTTTTCGTTTTGGCTTGGTTTCATGGTAGGGATCGTGGATGGGGAAGAGGTTGAATCGGAGGCGGGCTTTTACTGATGTGGGCGTGGATCAGCAGCTGCCGCCTCTGAAGTTGCTCGCAACTAGGGGAAACGAGTTAGTTGGTATATATTTTTGCGGCAAAGGATAAGATCCCCTCATGCAAATGCGACCTGATGGTTGTAGAATGGGGATTGCTTCAAGGGGCAAGAGTGAGAGAGAGAGAGAGAAGGGGAAAGAAAGAGAGAGAAAGAGAGATCTAATCGACGCTTGCCTTCCTAAGTTGGCGACGGTAATGAGTGTAATTGACCAATTAGGTTCGTTGATTACGTGCGCTCCAAAAACATTTTTACTCCACCAACACTTATCGATATATTTATCAATATGATATCGAAACTCAATATCAATACTTAAACTGCCACTGTCAGTGGAATTGATTTTTCCAATTTTGTTTCCCATCATTCCATATATCTTTGAATAAATGAATCAAGCACTTATTTTTGTTAATTTCGTAAATTAATCATTTGCTAAATTCAAATTTATTAAAATGATCAACCATTTCTTTATTATTTTACCATTTTTTACCATTTTGATACAAATTCTTGTATTTCAGTTGTACCTTCTTCTTCTTTTCAGTTGCACCTCACTTAAAATGTGGTTTTATAGCAAGGATCCAAACAGTTTTTCTAGTTTCTGGTATATAAGGTCCCTGCTAAAACCTTATTTTAAATGGGGCAAAGTAGGGCAATTTCTATACGAGAACCACAGGGATTCCTTTTCATCTAAAGCAGAGTTGTAATAAAAATTTAATTTTGTTTTTTCTGATTTCCAGACAAAATTTTTACATTTTTCCTGACCCTCTAAAGAATATTCTGAATCACTCTAAGAATAATTTTTAAGAATAGTCACATTTTTCGAGAAATTCGATTAAATAATAAGTATTAAAAATAATTGAAATTCTACGATGAGTTTTATTATTTGTGAAAATAATTGAATCTCTAAGAAGAGTTTTATTATTTTTGAACAAAATATTTAATTTTTGAGAAGAATATTATTACTCTTGAAAATAATTAAATTTCTACAATAATGCGTTACTTTTCCAAAATTAAATTTGTTTTCCTGTTTTTAACTGAAATTCTTTTTTAAATCAATTGTTTTTAATAATTTTTAAAAAAGTTCTTTGAGAATTTTCAGATCCATTTGTTTACAAAATTGAAGTTTACGAAATTTTAGTTATTCTGAAATTCTTCAATTAAATTATATATTAGAAAATAAAAACTGAAAATAATTTCAAAAAAAATTAATTCTATACACGGAATACTAGTTAAAAGTATGAAAAATTCTGATTTTCAATGATTTTAATTTGAAACTTTTTCAAAATTCAATTATTTCTAAAAATTTGCGCTATATTAATTTTTAAATTAATTTTTATCAGAAAATTCTACGAGAATTTAATTATTTAAATGCAGAAATAAATAAGATATTGAATAATAATTGAATGTTTCTCAAGATTAAATTCTCAAAAAGGATTTTTATTAACAAATTTTTAGATATAATTGAATTCTTTCGAAGAAATTTAATAAAATTTTTAAGAATCATTACATTTTTCGAGGAATTTGATTAAAACTATATATTAAAAATAATTGAGTTTATATTTATGAAAATAATGGAATTATTGATAAGAAATTTATAAATCATTTATAAATAACTGAATTCCTGTGAAATTTTTTTATCATTTACGAAAATAATTAAATGTTTGCGTAGAATTTAAAAAAAAATTTTTTAACTAATAATAAATTAAATTCTTTTGAAAAATTTTATTAAAATAGTAGATATATTAAAAACCATTGAATTGAGGAAAATTTTTGAAAATAATTGAAATTTTGTCAAGAATTTTATTAACATTTTTAAAAATAATTTAATTTTGGAGAAGAATTTTATTATTTATTAAAATAATTTAAATTTTGACGAGATTTTTAAAAAATTTGTAACTTTTAAAATTCAATTTTTTTAAGTGTTTTTAACTAATATTCTTCTATAAAACCATTATTTTTTAATAACTAATTATAAATATATTAAAAAATTTAACTAATTTTAATAGAATTTGAGTTATTAAAATTTTTTAAAATTCCAACATCTTTAAAATTTCTAATTAACTTCATTCAAAATTGAAATTTACTAAAATTTTAAATTAAAACCTTTTTGATGTTCATCTATATTTATCAAAATTGTAAAGGCAACTCTTTTAAAATTCAATTAAATTTGAAATATTTAAGTACAACTATTAAATAATTTATAAGTAATAAGTTTAAGATAGTTCTTCAAGAATTAAGTTATTTAAAAAAAAATTACTGTCATATATGTATAAAAAAATTTTAAGGTTTTTTATTAGAATTCGTGGTAATTTCATAGTTTATGAGGCAAACAAAAAAGACTAAAATTCAGAATTTTCTTATAAATTGTAAAAATTAAATTTTTTTCAGTACTTTTAATAAAAATCCCTGACAACAAAAATAAAAATGAAAAAACACAAAATTTGCTAAAAAAAAGACGTAATTTGCATTTTCTCTAAGGTACTTTTGCACCCTAGAGGGTTTATCTGGGTTTAATAAAAAAATATATGAAAGAAAGACAAATATATAAATGACAAATTTCCCCCCGCACTATGCACATATACAAAATATACTCGAATAGAAATAATATGATTAATTTTCACAATTCTATATTTCTAAAAGAAGAGATTAATATATTTTTTCCCCGGAAATCCATTAACAAGTGAAAATTGCCTTTTTATTTTTTCTTTGAAAAACCATAAAGATAGATAATAGTTTAAAAATATACACACACATGTCTATATAAAAAAAAGAATATTCACACAAAAAGTAGTTTGTCTTACTCATTATAATTATAATAGCTCATCTCTCGTGTGTATTTGTTCGGTATAGTTACGTTCACTTTTGGAGCTGTATAGATACTGCAAAGAGGAGCTAATTACACGGTGGATATCCGTTGGCAGCGAGAAAAGTCAACACGAGCGTTGAGTTATGATCTTAACTGTGTAAACCTGAATCTCACCAATTGCACACGAATATAACTATCTAAATAATGAGGTATAAAGAGACTAATCGAATACCTCGTATGTATATAGATATACATTATATTATTTCAAGAAAAAGAAAAAAAAAGTGAAGAATGAAATTAAAAAGCAAACACTTATCTTATTCTCTCGCCTTATTGATAATTAGACACGAAAACATTTGACAAAAAATTTACCAACACACTTAAAAAAGATTGTATTATTCTTGAAAAATTCATCGTTTCTAATAACTCTCTCATCTTTAGCGTTTAGTCCTAAGTTAACTTTGAAATGTTTGAATAAGTTCATTGCTTCTTAAATTTCAATTAGCGTCTCGTATAAATAGTAGACGAAATTATTTGTTTGAACTATAAAATATGAGATAGCGGCGAGACTTCAAACTAAATTTTTCTTCTTTTTGGTTATATATACGTGTATAAATGTGGAATTAATTTCTTTTCTGAGATTCCTTTATTTTTTTGTTTGTGTGTTATTTTATTAATAAGTCTGGATGAGTTTTTGAGTCGTGGTTTTCTTCTGTTTGTCCATATATATAGTCTACTTTATTTAAGAAATATATTTTCCAATTGTAGTCTTTATTGTGTCCAGATGCGAATATTTTTTTGAGATTTGTAATTTTTTTGTTTATAATTTTTTATTTATTTAGTTTTATTATTTTATTATTAGTTTGCACCTCGTGTTAAAAGAAGATAATGTTTTCGCTCTCGCTCAAGCAGCCTCTTACAAACTCATCGGAAAACATCTTCTTTCTATACACTTTTGGTATATAAAAAGTCCAATTTTTAAATTTGATTCAGAATTCTCCAAATATACTAAATTCTATTCAACTTTTTAAACGATTTTAAAACAGTTTTGTACTTTCGAAAACATTTGTCCAATATTTTTTTGCATATTGGAATAATTATCGTGATTTAATTGTAATTATACTACAAAACTGCTTTGTGTATATATAGCTAATATCGAATAGTCCAAGTTTAGTAATCATTTTGTTAAATTTTGGATTAAAATTCTTTTCATGAACATAAAATTTTGAAAAATTAACTGCCAGAACCAGTTTCAGATTCATTCAAATAAAAATAAAACATGTACCTAAATTATTTAAAAAATTATAGTTTTAATGTTATAGTTTTAATAACTTAAGGCAAAATCAAGAATTTTTTCGATGTTTCCAAAAAATTAATTACAAAATTTTTGTTTGAGGCTGAATTTTAAAAAAAGCTAATTAGCAGCTTTCGCACTCATCTACTAAAACTTACACTGTAAAAAAAGGGAGTTAAATTTTAACTCCCCCGGGGGGTCTATAAAAGTCGCACCCATTGGGGAGTTAATGCCAGGGGAGTTAAATAAAGAGAGTTAAAATTTCGCACCCAAATGCTAACTCCCCAAGGAAAAAATAACTCGCGCGGGTGTTGAATGAAGGGAGTTAGAAATTAACTCTCTTTTGGAGTTGATTTTTAACTCGAAAAATTTAACTCCCATAACTCCCGAGTCCGTTAACTCCCTAATTTTTTTATACAGTGTACTATTGTACTGTTTCAATACAGTGTACTATTTGGATACTTTTTAAAATTTTTGACACTAAAAGCTATTATACTTTATTATATTTTTTTCAAAATTTAAACTATACATTAAAATTTAAATCCGCTAATAGTTGAAGTAAAATAATTATAAATTAATTATTAATAAATATTCTTCTTAGAAACAATTGAAATTTTTTTTCAAGAATTCAATTATTTTCACAAATAATGAAATTCTTCGCTAAAATTAAAATATTTTCAAAATCTACAATTTTAATAAAATTTCTCAAAAGAATTCAATTATTGAGAAACAAAAAATTAATGAAATACTTCGCAAAAATTCAATTAATATTAA